CTGGATGGTCACATCACTCGCCTTGAAAAGTGAGCCAATAATGCGTCCCTTTCATGTGCTCTAATTATGCTCTAGATCTGAAAAACCGCCTCCGCTGTCCCTTCTGACTCCAGCGGATGACGAAGATATTGATCTAGACACCAATATCTTTGACTTGTATCCAGATCCTGCGCATTTCGTTCGCTTTCTAAAAACTATCCAACGCACAGACATATCCTCCGATCTCTTTGTGCGTTTATTAGAGACGTATCGGGATTCCAAGTCAGAAACGGATGGCGATCCCACACGGTGAGTCATTTGATGTTCTTTTACCGCTTCTAAATGTGGTCAGAACACTGCTCTACCTGCAACTGGTCGTCCAAATGCAGACCCAGCTTTCAGATGGGCCATCTACTGTCCTTGGCAAGCCAACTCACATAATTTCCTTCGTGAAACATGCTCTCGACTCTGGAGGTCGAGAGTCAGAGGGAAAAAAGGAGCCTGCCAAAATAAATCCCTTTCATCTAGACCTCGATGGATCCGAGGAAGGTGATAGCGACGACGATACACCAGGCGCTGACATTATTTACCCGGACGACGAAATGATCGAGACCGCAGTAAATCTGCTGCTCGCAGTACTTGAAGGTTTGCCTCTTATTTTAGCCTCTGCTCTGACCTGATGGATTTAGCGAACGAGAACCTCTCAGCCAGGACTGCGCCGGTTCTTAATGAGATATTCGCCCTACTGGAACCACTGGCACTCTCCGGATCGACTTCTGTTCAGCCATTGGCGCGGGAAGCCCGGATGGTCATGACCGCTCGTCTTGCCTCCACTTCTACACCGAAGCGAAACGCTCGAGAAGAAGACAACACTCAGGAGATCTATCAAAAGGCTCTTAAACTCCTTCAGGATCCTATATTGCCTGTCAGAGCTCACGGGCTGTTACTTCTTCGACAGCTAGTCAGTCCGCAAAAGTCTCAAGGGGCACAAATGTCCGATCCCGCGTTGATTCCAGCGATTCTATCCATATTTCTTCAGTCCGTACAAGACGATGATTCGTACATGTTCCTCAATGCCGTTCAAGGCCTCGCGGCTATGGTGGATACATATGGCAAAGATGTGCTCAAGGGGCTTGTGAAGGAGTATAGCCAAGGTCTCGATGGACTTGGTGCCAGTAATATAACCCAACACGATATGGATATCCGCATCCGAATCGGGGAAGCACTTGCTTCTGTAATAAAAAGATGCGGCTCTGCTTTACCTGCGTTCAGTAAGTTGTTCCAATGAACTGTCCATCACGTCGCTGAGCTTCCAAGTTGATATCTTGGTACCTCCGCTATTCCACGTCGTCCGGTCGTCGCAGGTCCCCACCACCCTCCGAACCTCAGCCCTTTCATTGCTGGCTGAATGTGAGAATACGTGTCCGCTGGCCCTGATACCATATGTCACAGACCTCTCGGAAGCCATGGTTGATTTGCTTCAGATCGAGAGTTCGACCACGATTCCAACAGAGTCAGAGGACGCCAACCCAATCTCAGCGAATTCAAAGCTGCCCCCCTTCCGACGAGCAGCGTTACACTTCCTTGGGCTGTTGATCCGCGAAACAACCAGGCAAATATACGACTCATCGCTTATCGAGTTTTCGAGTAGGTTACTCAAGCGCATAAGGACAACCTTGGCGTACGTATCTGCGACTGACGGAGACAGGGTAGTCCGGGTAATGGCACGAGAGGCTGTGGAAGGACTCTCGGAACTGGAAGAGGCAATGGTAGGCAATACATAGATTGTTGCAAGGAAATAAATAAATAAATATCTACCCCGTATCTGTCTCAGATGCGGAGAGCTCAAGCGAACTGAGTCAATAGAAGGGTATATTGATATAGGTTTTATTCACCGAAGTGCCCAACGCGTCTCACTTGTCAATGAATGAGCTGCGATTGAGGAAAACCGGTGGGGAATCAAGTGCTCGATACGTTCGAGGGATTGCCGACCACTCTGCTAATCTCGTCGATGCGCCGTCGAAAATTCTTCCAATTTGAACGGCCGACAAGAAGATACGGCGAATGGTCGTTCGTCGCGTCCGTAGGAGCGTCTAGTTTCAAGAAAGGGTTGGATATCGCTGAATAATACGCCATATGGAGAGCCTTGAAAATCTGGGGTATCGTCAGCTTCGACTACGAACCCAGACAAGGCCACGCACGAGATTGACTTCTACATCCCGAACCACAGAATCTGACAGAGCCAACGCGATCACAATCTTGACTTTGAGAGGTGTGATGTACCCGTAAACCGCAACATCCTCCATAGAATACAGCAGACCCAAGTAGCATTCAGTTGACTTTCCACCAGCAGCCACTGGTTCGAGAGGACGTTAGAAGGCGAAGTTAAAGAAGGAGAAGCTTCAACCTCGCTCTTCTATCACGTCCAAACTCGTATGCGCAATGTAGTGGTATTTGATAGCATGGTCGTCCTGTTTGTTGAATGTGCGGATGAGTATAGGGTGATTCTGAGGGTCAATAAAGGCCACAGCGTTGAGTGTCTTCCGACTCATGTCGTGGGAAGCGTAACGAAAGATATTTGGCACACAGATGAGAGCCAAACAACGCCCAGTGCCAGATTAGGAAGGTGCTCGATATCGGCCGAGTTTGACTGCGGGCCCACAGCACGGTCATTTTCCAAGTTACATCCCTGCATATACTGTTAAAAGAATTTTTTGGGGCGTTGTAGAAGCTTCTGGTGGCCCTCGTGCGGTGACAATGACATGGACGTCATGCCTCGTTTGAAAAGGTCTAGGAACACAAATCCAATCTGTTTGACCCCAAAGCGACTTACAAGACATCCGTTGGTCGCAGAAACTGCGGCTCCCATTGACGGGTGGTGAACAGATAGATAATGACTCAAGTGAAGCCCAATCATTTCCATCAAAATTCGTTCGTGGCCAGGGAACTTCCGCTGCCTCCGCGTGTATGTGCGTAGTCCGGCGTTCTGCAACAACTTGACTTCCTGAAGCCATCCTTCACATTTTCCGAGGTGATTTAACTGAAATTGAAAACACCGAAAAAAAAAAAAAGAGACGAAAGGGAATGTCTCAATGCCAACAAACAATGAAACAATCTTCCATTCGTCGACGGGGGCAGACATTGAAAGAAGAAAGTAACAAAGCCCCGATTGCACCAGGTCGTGCTTGTTTGCAGACTTAGTGCATTTTGGGCCTTTTGCATGTCGATCGAATCAGAGGTAAGTCTAGGGAACTATCAATGCAGAACATGGGCAATCGAGGGAGACTCGGAGCCCGGTACAAAACGAAACCAAAAGAATCCGACTAACTCAAGCTCCTTTACGAGGGCCTCTAAACACGCCTGTTCGACCTGCATTACGGCCTCTGTGTCCCAAGCCAACATTATCCAACATGTATTGGCCATTGGACGAATATACACACCATGCGACCTTGTTTCCTCCACCGACCGCTTCTGAATCGGTTCCAGAAGAGCTCTGCTTTGATCCAACTCTTTATCCAGTTTTTTCATCCGCTTCTCCTCGTTCTGAGCCTCAAGTCGAATGACCTTGAGTTTGGCCGATTCCTCTGCGTAGACTGCCTTGTTGAGGCTCGCAAAGATCGCTCGCGCCTCAGGTACTGTAAAGCGAGAAGGGAGCTTGCCGTTAGGTTCAGGAGGCGTGGACCTGTGGGAGATTCAGTCAAGGGGTTCAAGTGAATCCCTTAATTGCGAATTGACACGAACTTTACAGAGTTTGCGGCCATGAGCAGAGCAGATATCTTGACACGTGACCGTTTACGCGTTCTGCTTGTACCCTCATGTCCAACTTCGTTCGATTCACCTTTTCTCCGTCTCCTACCCCTGGCCAGGAGGACGTGCAGATGGGATCCCCGCCCAAACCCAAAGACGATGCAGCCAAGGGGGTCGCGCCTCCGTCAACTAAGAGGAAGGCGGCACCGACGCCGACGTCGACAACGCTCACCATGCCGAAGAAGATCCGGCCCGCGCTCAAGAAGGACGTCCCCGTACCAGCAAAACCCGCAGCTCCGCTCCGAATCTCCGTCCCCCAAAAACGGACCAGTAAATCTACAGCCAAAGCCCCACCTAAGGCGCACGAGAGCGATGAAGATGACGACAGCGACGACAATAACAATGCCCGTCCTACGAAATTCATCACAAAACAGGCCGCCAAAACAACGATGGCCAACGTCGTCGACCTCGTCACTCTGATACAACGCGCAAGCCTTACGTGCAATCGCATATCTTGTGAAACAGCAAAACTGCGGGAATTGAATCTGAGCAAGGAGCGGCAGGTCGAGGTGGCTCGTTTGGCGGTGGTAGAGGCGACGCGGGCCGCGCAGACTGAAAAACACGGTAGGTCTCTGCATATCTATTCATTTGTTCATGACCGCCGAGTCGTGCAGCTCAAGCCATCGCGCTTCAAGAAGCCAAATCCCACGTTCTAATGTTACAATTGGAGCTCGAAAAGCTCAAAAAACAAAGTGCATACCTGTCGCTTATCTTTTCCTGAACTGACCGTTCATTGTACAGATGTTCGCGCTGAAAATAACACATCCCCCTTCGGCCGCCCATCTCTTCAGAACCAATTTTCTCCTTCCGGGTCCAATACTTTTACTGGTTCCGTCTCTCGCAGTGCTTTCTCTCCTCGTGGTACTTCGGCTCCGTTTGCGTACACAGACACAACCAATAGCACCTCCGGACCCTCTTTGGTTCGGCCTTTTTCAACCAATTCGGCACCGTCCCAAAAGGCTCGCCGTATTGAGTTCGAAGCCCTGCGTGCCGCCGGCCGGGATGTCTAGTTTGTTCCTTTTGCATGGCCTAGATGTGTAATGCGTTCGATATACAACTCGTAGATGTGCACACTATTGGGTAGATGTTTTCCGCGTGTACTTCCTTACTTTTGTTGTTTTTACCATCACCTATATTTTGGCGCACTTGTTCTGTTACTACCCATTAGAAAGACTCAACTGGTCGTGTATTCTATTCTGAGATCACAAGAGAAGCCGACTTTAGCTCAGTTGGAAGAGCATCAGACTGTAATCGGTTAACTCATCTGAGGGTCGTCTGTTCGAACCAGACAAGTCGGATTTTTTTTCGCTCCTGGGCTATGTATGGTTTCCAACCAAGAAAGCTGCTTGCTTCACTTTCTGAGGTAGAACAGCGAAGGGCTCGATATTCTCACAGGTAAGGAACTTGGGCCGGCTGCTGCCGACTTGAACCTTGCTTTGGCAGCTTCGGCCTTTTTCGGCGCATCGCAGTTTTCTCTTTGCACCTCTACAGTAACAAAAACCATTGTTCTTTGTTATAATAGTTAAGATAATATGCATTGTTTCCCCAAAAGGAAGTGCAAGTTAAACGTTAAGGACAGAAAGTGCACTCAAAGCGTCGCGAACAAGGGCAGACGTGATGCCGAATAAGGAAATGCCACTCGAAGTGGTGGCCTCGGGGTGGCTTTGGGAAACATATATAAGGCCTAGCACAAGGCTCAAGCTCCCCACCTTCGTTCAACGACACGGTCCGCCGTCCCTCACGTTGATCAAGGTCCTCCCTGCATTAGTATGTGTTACACTGAAAATCTGGGAGCGCGGCTGTTGTGCTGTGGCGATTGATTACTTTCGACCACTTCATGTATCGGTCTGCATCATTGTTGGGTCCCTCTCTCAAATAGTAAGTGTTACACCGAAATTTATGATACGCATTACCCGGAGAGGGTCTTGTATTGGGGTATGAGTTTGGGAAAGTCATGGAACTTGGCCTCTCACCTTCTTGGTAATCTCGTAAATCCGACGCTGCCCCGCGAACAAAATAGCGGCAGTCAGGACACTTTGAATGAGTTTGTTGCCGACGCCTTTGTAAAGCCCTTGGAGCCCTTCGTCTTTTAGAATGGTCAGAAGACCATCCAAGGATGACTTGTATTTGAGGGCATGTGCATGTCCCGCTTGTAGTCGGCTTTTCACGACGCTGGCCGCATGTTGGTAACACTGTCAAGGTTTAATGGACTGAGAGAACGCACATGTATGGATAAGTCGAGGATGTAGCAACTGCAAAGGTTTGTTGAATGACTTCAAGCCACTCAATTCAAAATAGCACCCACCAAGTTTAGACAACGCGCCGAGCAAGAAAAAATCCCAGTCCGTCAACGCGGCCACTGCAGTGGCGACCCCAGCGGCCCTCAATTTAGCCGTTCTTCTGGCGACAAGAAAGTTCTTCAGCTGTTCAAACACAGTGTACTGCGAGGAACGTTTCAGTGTACCACAAAACACGGGTTGAGCAGTTGAATGACCTGCAGAACAGGATTGATGACTAGCACCAGTGCAGGGCCAATTCCACGCCAGAATGCCCTAGGAAGATTTGAGCACTGAATCACAGTGCAGTGTCGAAAACCCTTACTGAATACCGCCTTCGCGGAGTATATTTCGAACAGTCTCAACAATCGAGAGCTTTTTCACGACGTTGGGACGGGAAGGGTCTAATGAAGGCTGGTCCAAGGTCTGCACAGCCTGAGAAGTCTACACAAATTTCGTCAGAACAAGTTGAAAGGTCTGGACCAAAGAGTACCTGAACAACCCAGATTGGGTTGCTAATAATTGTAGTCGCAGACCCTTTCCGAGAATCAGCCCAAATAGCCTGCTCGTGAACAAAACATGCTTACCAGCGATGATTCCAATTAAAATAGACTCGCCGGTACTCAGCGCTTTGCCCTTCTGTACGATTCCTCGGGACCGCTCGTAAAAGTAGTAATAGACGCTTCAGAACTGTCAACGCAAAACTTGAACACGGAGTATTGCCGTACCCGTTAGTGACTGCGATGCCCAATAGGCTTGAGCTCAAGCCACTGTACAGGCCTAAAGGACCTTCACGCTTGATGATGTCCACTACGGCCTGGTAGGTGGTCTGGTAGTACAACGCAGTTCCAGTGAGCCTAGAAAACAAGTCTTATCGGACGCCAATATCACCTTGGATTCATTCTTTGTTTCCACGGCCGCACGGGTAGATAGAAAGATCAACGGGCTTGAACAAGCAGTTAGCGCAAGTCGACGCGCGAGACAAAGTGAGTACTAAGTGCAAGACATGGCGAAGACGCCCGCCACACCGCCGGCTACAGCATGTATTGCTGGATCGCCACTCATATTGTGCAAAGGTATGAAGAAGTGGAAGAGAAAGAGCGAACGTTGGCAGAGCACAACCGGATACTAATAAATGCTTTGCATCATCGGAAATGCCAATTTGAATCACATGCCATCATGCGCGGATCACTACGATTTACAATTGGGTCAAACGCTAAGCTCAACTTCGCCGGAATCCAGCTTGCAACTCCTTCAGCAGCCGCTTCATCTCAGTCACGTCCCCCGCGAGACCGTTCGAACTTGACCCCGTAGCATCCGCCCTTCCTTGCGGTAAACCAGCACCATCCCCAATCGTTGCCTTACCATCGTCCAACGAAAGCCATTGGTCAAGCTGCGTCGCAATAGAACGTGCCTTCAGCCGGAAGTGGGTGCGGATGATATCTGCGAAAGGCTCCGGTGGGTTTTGCAAATTGCCGAGCATCTGCGAAAACATGGGTAAGTGAAAAACAGCACAATCAGGTGATAACACTAACCGCTGTCCTAACAACCATTCGCCGGACGTTCGCCGAGTCTTGGGGGAAAGGTTGGTCTTCAACTGGGACAGGAAAAGAAAAAAAGTTCACATACATGCACGGGACTGCGGGGTTCCGGCGCTTCCTGCCCACCCCGGCTCGTTTAGATAGGGTTCTTCACAGAGAATCATGGATTGAATTGAAATGAGAACCTGTCCAAATAGATTAGCACTCCATTTCGCGCACGAGACGGCACTCACTTGGAGGAGCGTCGACCTTCCAGCTACCCAACCAGGCCCGGACCACGTTCCAAGCAATGATAAACAAACTTTCCCGTCCTATTCACAAGGGTCAGCAATCTAAGGGAAAAGTATGGCCCCGTTCATAACATACGGCGTAGAGATTCGGATTGAATCGGAATTTGCCGCCGTTAGTCTAGAGAACATCGTACGGTAAGCATTAGGTTAATAAGTTCAGCAAGTACTCACGGTCATATACTTGACGCTAGGAGGCGCTTGGTTGTAACTTGGGCCAAGGAATATGTCGAATAGATAACTATACCGGGGTGAGTGAGAATTAGCGAACAAAAACACCGACTCACCAGCCATTATAATACCTATACGGAAGACATTCAGAGTCGTAGGAGTAAAAAAAATGGGCAGAAAACATACGGCGTGCCCTCGGGTCCCGTAATAAGGGCCTTGATCACATCGACTCGCGTCTCGTCAATACGCAAAAATATCGACGAGTTCCAAGCTATGGGTAGATTGTTGGTCAAGATCGAGAGCTTGGGTCGATATTAGGAAACTGGTCATGGCAGTCAATTGCGAATTCTCACCTCTTTCGCAATAGCAAGAGATCGTTTAGGTATGTCAGACAGCGCGAGCATGCGGATTTCATTGTTGTAATATGATTTATAATGCGGGAGTTGCGGCTCCGTCTCATTGGCGGCCGGAGTTGTTGTCGGGATAGTGAGATCGCAGTACTCGAATCTGACGCGAGTAGCCCACTCGACGTACGCCTTATTCGCACTCTCTTCCGTTGTGCCCGCGTCAACCAATATCCCCTCCGCGGAAGACGAGGTGAGGATCTTTGGCAACGACGCGTGCAGTCGCTCAACGAACGCATCGCCCTTGGTCTCACGCAGCGAGCGATCAATAGCGTTCGCCGTGCCAAGAATCCGCTGGCAGAAGCTGAGCAGCTTCTGGTTCTCGTCGGCGACGGGGTTAGAGACCTCCTTGGATTTGCCCTTTGTATCGACGGTCATCCGCTTCTGCTCCTCTGTCAGCTCCTCATCGGCCGTTTCCGGAGCCTTGACACCCTCCAAGGCCTTGATCGCAGCATGGGCTTGGATAACAATGGCTTCAAGGAGTTCTCGCGGCCCGGCACTTCCTTCGTAGATAATGGTCCGTTCCCGGATAGGTGTGTTGGTGGGCGATTTCCTAGTCGTGACGGACTTGACAGAAGCCACTGTCATGATGGGCATGGCCATCATGCTCGCCAATGCTTCATGGTTGGATATCGTCTAACGACCAAAAACAATAAGCGGACAAGAATGATCATCTCAGTGCGCTTACCTCGAGCCAGTCCAGCAATTTGAAGTATAAGACAGAACGATCCGACATGTCTGCCAAAGAATCGTTTCTCAGCAGCGTACTAGACACGGTGTTGAACCGTCTTCGGAGATGCGCTAGAGCCGTCGGGTGTGGAAGGAAATCGCTGGGGTGGTGGCCCTCGCGATGTAAAGAAGGGAGATATACGCCGATTTCTGTGAGAAGTTTTCCGATCTTCTCATCTTTCGCGGCCTGCTGGGCCTGTGCCTCTAGTTGACCTGAATTCTAGGGCAAATAAATGATTTGAAGTCGGCTTCAAAGGGAAAGACGGTACATACATCCTCTTTCTGGTCACCAGCATAGCCTACCCCACCTTTGGCCCTCTTTCCACCAGAACTCAAATTGTAATATTCGTCGTCGTCATCGTCAGCGTCTTTCGGAGCCAGCTTTCCCGTTTTCCTACGTTTAGTGTTTCGGGTCTTAGGATCCTGCGCAGTCTTCGAATCTTGGGATTGCTCAGCGAACATCTGCTCAAGCATTGACAGACCAACACCAAGGATGACACCTTGTATGTCGGCGCAGTGGAACAAGAGGTCACCAGGTGCGGCGGCGCCGGGGCGCTGCACCTTCTCAGTTATTGGCTCGCCGCAGGCAAAGCAGAATTCGGAGTTGCACCGCTGGCAAGTCTGTGGCACGACGCTTCGCAGATGTGTAATATACGAAGTAAACTCGGGCTGCGCAGTGAGATTAGCGGTGTAAGGCATAATGAGAGACGACTCACAAATATCGGAAAGAAGTCGCTCTTTTTCCGAAGTACCGATGAGCCACATTCGTGAGGACACACGCATTTCCCTTCACTCAACTGGGAATACAGCGCAAAGAGGAAGCTCTGCTCCCCACCAGAAGGCGGTGGGCATCCCTTCATCCACTCGCCCTGCGTCATGAGCTTTACCTG